AAAGGGCTCTAAGAGGGGCAAAGCAATAGATGTTATCATTAGAGACCTTTCTGATGATCTGAAAAACAACTGAAAGCAAAAGTCCAAGATGACCCAATTGAAACAATGAGGCGATACTCACTTTTCGAAATAGCGACTGGTGCAAAATATGATTAATTAACGCGAAATATTGATGTTACAGACGGTTTGACAAATGATGCAGAATTTATTTAAGAAAACAGGAACGATGACTTACGTAAAATAAAAGATATACATTCAAGTGGTCGGCTGAATTATCAGTATAGAATTTGTTAATAAAAGATAGTGACCTTGAATATTTTTAACATGACGAGACAAAAGATTAATCAGATAGTAAGTTCAAAGAAACCAAAGTTAAAGGCGGCAAACGGTTGGCTGATTTATATATCATTCTCTAAAATGTCAATAACAGATGAAGAAAGCCACTGATCGTCAATGAACTTGAAGATTTAGCACAAAAATAAAAGTCGGCAAACGATCGGCCGCTTCTCCACCTTCTATAATCTATTAGTAGTTAATAGCTATCACTTCCGGTTCAGTGATTTCAACGAAAAACAGCCGCTGGAGGTTCGAAAGTTAGACAAAAACAAGCTAATTTCTTTTGTTTTCTTTAAACTAGAATCTCAATATTGCAGAAAGAAAAGGGGTTATGAAGGCAGTTTCCTCGCTATTTGCAATTTTGTGTTTTCTTTCTCTATCTCAAATTTGGTCCTTGAATTTTTTCCATCAACAGGGACTAAGAAAAGGGGCACAGATATGTTTAACGATCCAGCAAATCTGAGGGAAATTCCACTCGGAAGGAAACTCGATAAATCTTACTCGAAAGATCCCTATTCTATTTTTCGAAAAACCTTTCGCAATGGAATAGAACTTCACCAAGATCGGTATCTGAGCATGCGTAGACTTTCGAATCAATCGCCTTTTGACAATCTTTCCCAAAGTGTTTTCTTTTCGGTTGACCTCTTTTTGAGGCGTAGAAGGCCTATGAATATTACGGGTGTAGTTGCTGGAAACCCTAGATTCCATCACATAAAAACTGTTTTTTAACACACCTTTCCAGTTAACAATCGTGCGATCGTATCGAGCCACCATGTTTGTGTTACATGTTGATACTTTTAAAATTTGTACTGTATTTGCACCCAGATCTCGCACGTTCAAAAAACCCTATGGAGCCTCCTTAAATTAAGCAAAAGCTCTAACTAAATTAATCGCTCAAATCATAATGTTTTTGTTTTTTGGCCTGGAGTCTTATTATCGGCCAAAGAAGTGAGTCTAACTAATTAGCCCGACTTTAAAGCGACCTACATTATCTCCAACGAAAGATAATTCTCAAAGGCGGGGCTTATTCCTTGAAAATAGGATACACTGTCGAGACAAATGTAACGAGCAAACAGCATTAGTGTAAGGTTCCGAACGAAAAGGGAAGCAATATTAACGCATGGTTACTGAACTTTAGAAACTTCATTGACCGCAAATGATCTTAAAGAGTTAACATAACAAAAGAGGGAATGATCACTTTCGTATAATAAAAGAGATACAGACAAATGGTCTACCGAGTGGTCATTCTGGAATCTGTTAATAACAAATAAATCAAGCCACTGATCGTCTATGACTTTGAGGATTTAACATAGCAACAAAAGTCGGAAAATGGTTGGGTGATTTATCATTCTATAATCTGTTAAAAACAGATTAATAAAGCCACTACGTAAATGACATAGAAGATTGAACGCATGGTTACTGAACTTTGGAAACTTCATTGACCGCAAATGATCTTAAGGAGCTAACATAAAAAAAGAGGGAATGATCACTTTCGTAAAATAAAAGATATGCAAACAAATGGTCTACCGAGTTGTCATTCTGGAATCTGTTTATAACAAATGAATAAAGCCACTGATCGTCTATGATTTTGAGGATTTAACATAACAATAAAACTCGGAAATTTGTTGGGTGATTTATCATTCTATAATCTGTTAAAAACAGATAGATAGCCACTGACGTTAACGACAGAAAAGATTTAACATCATGAAATAAAAGGCGGCAAACGGGCGATCGATTTTTCCGCATTTAGAATCTTCTAGTAGTTAAAAGCATTCATAGGTTCAGTGATTTTTATGAAAAACAGCCCTGGGAGGTCAAAAAGTTTTAGATTCTTAAAGACTGGTCAATTTCTTTTGGCTATAGGTTTCCTCTCAACCAGAATCACAATAATGGAACGCAAGCGACAGAAGCTTTAGTCTAACGTTTTTTATTTGTATCATACTATCAAAACTAAACATTGGATAGAAATTAAAGCGATAAGATAACCCCTTATAGTCGTTCTCAGATTGAAACATATTTCTGATTACATTTCAATTTAAGACGATTATGTGATTGTTATCAACTGCCTTTAACAAGAATATAAACAGCAATTTTATAAGAATAAGAAATACCAAACTTGTCGATTACGAATCCAGCAGGGCACAGATATGTTTAACGATCCTGCAAAGCTTAGGAATTCCACCCGAAAGGAATCGCGATAAATCTTACTCGAAAGATCCATATTTTATTTTTCGTAAAACATTTCGTGATGGAATAGAACTTCGCCAAGATCGTTATCTGAGCATGAGTAGACTTTCGAATCAGTCGCCTTTTGGCAATCTTTCCCACGGTGTTTTCTCTTCGGTTGACCTCTTTTTTAGACGTAGAAAGCCTATGAATATTACGGGTGTAGTTTCTGGAAACCCTAGATTACATCACATAAAAACTGTGTTTAACACACCTTTTCAGTTGACAATCGTGCGATTATATCGAGCCACCGTGTTTGTTTGCATGTTGATACTTTTAAAGCTCGTGCTATATTTGCACCCAGATCTTGCACGTTCAAAAAACCCCATGGAGCATTCTTAAATTAAGCAAAGCTTTAATTAAATTAATCGCTCAAATCATAATGTTTTTGTTTTTTGGCCTGGAGTCTTATTATCGGCTAAAAAAGTGAGTGTAACCGGTCAGCCCGACTTTACTCTATTATTATTACTATCTCTAACGAAAGATAGGTCTTAAAGGTGGGGCTTATTCCTTGAAAATAGGAGACACTGTCGAGACAAATGCAAAGAGCAAACAGCATTAGTGTAAGGTTCGGAACGCAAAGGGAAGCAGTATGAACGAATGGTTATGAAAATTTAGAAATTTCATCAACCGCAAATGATCCTAATTAAAGAGTTAACATAACAAAAGAGGAAATGATCACGTTCGCAAAATAAAAGATATGCAGACAAATGGTCTTCCGAGTTGTCATTCTGGAATCTGTTAATAACAAATGAATAAAGCCACTGATCGTCTATGACTTTGAGGATTTGACATAACAATAAAAGTCGGCAAACGGTTGGGTGATTTATTATTCTATAATCTTTGAAAAACAAATTGATAAAGCCACCGACGTTAATGACATAGAAGATTTAACATCATGAAATAGAAGGCGGCAAACGGTTGGGTGATTTATCATTCTATAATCTGTTAAAAACAGATAGATAAAGCCACTGATCGTCAATCACCTTGAAGATTTAACAGCATGAACTAAAAGGCGGCAGAAGCTTTGATCTAACAGTTTTTTATTGCATCGAACTATCAAAACGAAACATTGGATAGAAATTAAAGCTAAAAAATAAATTCGACTAATCGTTCTCAGATCGAAACATGTTTCTGATTGCATTTGAAATTTAAGGCGATTATTCACTATATAATTCCTGACACGATTTTGAGTCAACGAACGGTATCAAGACCTTCATCAAAAGCAAAACGAGTCTATTCGAAGCTGTTTTAAGTCGTTAGCATGCATTAAGTCAGCGGCATATTGAGTTACTCGCGATCGTAATCACCAGTTTCTCGTTTCATTAAGAGGGGGAAAAGGTGAGGTGAATAAAAACCTCCAGAGTTTTTGTTTTTTCCAGGAGGAGAGAGTGAAATATGTTTTGTGGATGAGTGGATGGTTTCGTGCTAATTATATTTTGACTTAAAGGAAAGGCTTTCTATATTTAGCGTTACAATAATTTTTTTTTTTGCCTGGGGTTTTATTCTAATCACGTTTTGAGTCCCTAGCACGCACTAAGACACAACTAGCAATGGCTATCAAAAGATTCTGACAACTAATGTAGCTGCATAGTAGGGGGTGCCATTTAAGAATTATTAATCAAAAAGTAAACGCACCTTTTTTCCTTCACTTTAGTCGACTCGCCAGCTCATTATAATATACTATTTCACACTAGGCTGAGTTTATAAGCTTTTGCGTCAACTGATGCCTTGGTGCATGAAAAGAGATGCTTCCAAATTTGGAAAGGGTGTTTATTATAACTGGGAGCTTATCAAGCAAATATAATCATTACTTGGCCGAGTTCATACAGTTTGTGTCTGAGCCTTTCCAAAGGTAAGTTCAGTCTAAAAATTCCAATTTGTTTATGGTTTTAAGATGGGAATGTCCCTTAGCCCTTTGTAGGTCCTCTGTGCGAGGAATATTTCCCAATACATATGCATAATACTATTCCAGTACATACAGTCAATCGTCTGCAGCATTTCACAAAATGGATGTTAACATGGCAACTGGAGCGTAATGTAGCAATTCTCAGACGATCGCTAAAAGAAGAAATCTTATTACAGCAGACACATCGCTTGCTTTCCCAGCTCGGGTATTACATTTAAAAGATAAAACTAGTAGCAAGCTCAGTTTCTGGTGTAAGGTTTCGTCTAGAAAGCCATTTTGATTTCGTGTAGAAATCGTTCTAAACAATCACAATTCCTTCCACAGTATCTCTCAGATATTCCCAAAATCATGACTCTTCTTGAGGTGAAAATTCTTTTGTCCTGTGTTTTTCTGATATACACCAACGTGGAAGCGGCTCGATCGCCAAAGGTAAGACAAGTGCAAAAACTGTACATACTTTTCTGTAGCTCAATGATAAAGCGTCAGATTGCGGAAACAGAACGTTCAGGATTCGATTCCTCGTTGGAATTAAAATTTTTTTTCTTTGTCCCTCACTCGTAAGAAGTTAATACTCGTATATTTTTGCATTGACAATCCAGCTTATATTTTATCACCTTTCTTTAATAACTTATGTCCTTCATTCACTTCAATAAGAGGACATTAACTATTGATTTCAGGCATTGCTATCTGTTTCAACCATTCTACCACAGACGGTTTTTGCTATCTGTCATAATCAAGTTCTACAGTTTTGCATTTGTTTCCAAAATAAATGACTTATCTAAATCTTTTTCAAAGGAGAATTTGAAAACTTGAGTATTGGGTCATCATATAAAAATATTCATGGACAAAAACTCTAGTCTTTAGAAGATTAAGATTTAGTCGAGTACCCGCAAATGTGGGTTAGAAAGTTTCATATCCTACAGTATAAAACTAATACTCGCCTTTTTTCATCTTGTTATAGGTCCATCGTCAGCCTCTGGCTCACATCGAGGCCACCGAGAAAAAATTAACTGACTATCGCGTTGGGCAAGGTTGTGTCAATCTTTTCTTGTTGCTTCAACGGCTTTCTCAGTTTTACTAATGGTCGACTCGAAAATTTCTTTATAGCAATTAAAGACTGGGATGCGGGAAATGTGCACAGTCATCTCGAGGGCGGCATGAAATACAGTAATGGACGTCTGATTGTGCCTCAAGATGGAGAGTATTATGTCTACGCACAACTGTACTTTCGCAGCAGTGGGAGAGTGCTGATTCTCAAGAATCACCACGAAGTTATCACCATACTTCAACATTCCCACAACGTACCAGAAGGACCCCACTATGCAGGGGGAGTGTTTTATTTTAAGGCTTATGACACCATAGAATTACAAACCGCGAGACCTGTCTCACTTTACATGTCGAGTTTTCACTCTTACTTTGGAGCGTTCCTGATTCAGTGAGCTTCACCGCAAAAGCACGTAAAAGCCTTGAAGAAAAGTGTACCATGATATCAATAAAGAATAGAATGATATCAAAAAGGCTATGCTGTGTTGTAATCTTTAAGAAAGCAACAAATCCCTAAAGAAACAGCGGTCACAGTTTAAACAGGAACCACTGAATTTCCGACTGAAGCCCCGATGCATCAACAACATTCAGCGGCATTGCTTATCGTTCATGCAAAAAAAGCACGAGTTCCTTGCATGATATAACACAGCTTTTTGATCACGTAGCCTGTCGAGGTTTTTCCTTCAAAACAGTTTCTTAGTTACATGGTAGAATCCTAGTTACCGGTAAACAGTCTCTCTTTAAAGAAAATCTCTTGTCTTCCTGGATTCTGTGCCGGTTTATTTGTTTCTTGAATCATTTTGTCTCTTAATTCTGTTCGGGAAAAAAAAAAACATCGCATAAGAGAAAGAGAAAAAGCCTAATTTATCTTGACTCACA